TCAGAATCGATCAGCAAATTCAAGCTAAGAACACGGAAATTTATTTACGTGTATCACTACCATTAACGGAAGAGAAAAATAATAGGAAAACTGACCGTAAAACGGTTTGTGTTTTAAGGGCTGGAAGGTGTTGATGAAGAGCTTTTCCTTGTCAAATGTGTACCTCATCCAATAAAAGAAGTACCGCCTAACAAAAGGGAGTGCATCGAAGATCTGAATAGTGAAGTGATGATCAACAGCCTCTGAGGATTTTAAGACCACATGAGCCATATTATAATTATTTCAGCCCTTAATTTTACAGTCAAAGCATATTGCACTAGTTGTTAGAGGGCTATAATCAGGACAAAGAAAATATCATCTATTTATAAACAGAATCGACTTCTATTAATATTTTCTCAGGTTAAAGATAAATAAAAACTACAAATGATTGATGTGCTGAAGTAAGCTATGAAGAAAAAAGGCACTGGTTGCCGTAAAATAATCATTTTTACATTTAAAACCAGCAAAAGCCTTGCCGAAAAACAACAACAACGTAGTTGCAAGGCTCAACATGATACCTTATCCCTTGTTATATTCATGGGATTCTCGATATTTGTAAGACCAAAGTTTACCTGCCGGACGCGGAAGGGCTGTAACTTGGCTCCGTTTTCACTAAGTGTTGAGTTAAGGTAGATTATAAGGAACCGGTGAGAGTTCATCAGTTTTTAACTTCACAGGATAATTAACTGCCCACTGGCGATTTCATCGACATTTATCCATCTCACTTCTAGAAGTACCCGAAAGTGGAAGTACTGTCAACAAGAGTTCCTGAATCCGTTCAGTAGAAGTTTGGTAAACATGAAAGGTGGCGCGAGCAGATGAGTTTGCGGTATTGCTAAAGGTTGTAAAGTTGTAAGCCGTTCATATCATCATCCCACATTATGATGTAATAAAAGGCTTCAATTCCTTGTTGAGTGCATAGTATGACGCTATTTTACGTTTCTCAAGTTTACCATGAAGTTAGTTCTTCGAATAAATGTTCAGTGCAATCTACCAATATTCAAAACTTGAAAAGAAGCACGACAGTAATTCAACTTCAAATGAATTGCCCGAAATTTCTTCCTATTTTCATTAAAAAAACGCATACGTGAGCGTTCATGGAAATTCTCTAGGCACTCTTAACAAACACCGTACAACTGTTATTTACCTTTCCTGGATGAAACTTTTTCGCAGAAGCTACTATTTTTTCCATCCCTTTCTACTTTCATTTACACAAAGTTAACCAAGTATAAGGTTTCTGATGCGGCGTCACTGCTTTCGGCTAATGAGGTGAAGACTTTTTACAGTGCTCGATTTCAGCTCATACGTGACAAAATTTAAGTATTTCACATTTCGCTGTTCTCTGCTCCCCGATTATCGCCCTTCACGAGTTTCATATCAAGGCACGTATTACATATGCTAGGTTTCACACACAAGTTTGGAGGAAATCGCTCAAGAACGGTTACGCTGGAATTGCCCGTGAACTGTAGCATTCATGGGATGGAAAAAAGTAGTAGCTCTAGCGGAAAAGTAACTAAATGTTACTACTGATGGCTACTTCTTTTGATATGACATTCAGAAAGTGTCTCCATACACCAAAAACAAAGATAAGGAGTATGTAAAAAAATTGAGGGAGGATATGTATTACCTGTTTGGCAGACGGTCGATTGA